CCCAAAACCCCAAAACCCCAAAACCCCAAAACCCCAAAACCCCAAAACCCCGACACTATTATATTTCATAGAAAGCAGTGTTTATATTATTAAAAATATAAATATGTCTGAATTGATCCATGTAAGTATTGGCCTCCTTATCAGCGACACCCTGACCCTGTGGCACTACATTAGTGGTCATATAACCTCTCTAAGGACTCTCTACCAGCTATATTGAGAACTCTGAGTACTAACAATTTTGTATAGCACGACAAGGCTTTCCAGAAGCAAGATAATGTATTCCTCAATGGTAAAAACGTCCAATCCAAGAAGAGCAAGAGCGGAGTCAGATACTACAGAAAGATCGGACTTGGTAAGCACCCTTCCTCCTTATCTCTTCTATGGGATTGCTAATAACTATCAATGCGTGGAAAAATATTCGTATGTTCTCTATCTTTTAAGATTTTACAAGGATTCCTCCAATCCACGGCATTAAGGCTTATAAATATTACGAAACAAGGCCAACTGGCGTTTCCCCTGACTCAGTTGACAACCGTTCTTATCTAATACTGGTTAATCGCTAAAACTACTTCCTAAATGAAGGCTCTCTGAAGCATAAGAGAGATTTAAGAAGCATCTTTTGTATTAATATGTTTAAATAGGTTTCAGAACTCCAAAGACTGCCATCGAAGGAGACTACATTGACAACAAGTGCCCATTCACTGGTATCCCAACCATTAGAGGGAGAATTTACAAGGGACTTGTCATCTCTAACAAAATGCATAGAACCATTGTCATTAGAAGAGATTACTTGCACTACATTAGAAAGTTCAAGAGATTCGAGAAGAGACACAAATCCTTGAAGGCTCACTGCTCCCCAGCTTTCAGAGTTGAGCCAGGAGATGTTGTTACTGTAGGACAATGCAGACCACTCTCCAAATGTGTTAGATTCAACGTTGTTAGAGTTGAGCCAACCAAGGTCCAGGGTAACTTGAAGAAACAATTTGTCATGTTCTAAAATCAACGATAAGGACAACCTTCTCAATATTCTTCATGAATATAGGGGTTTTGGGGTTTTGGGGTTTTGGGGTTTTGGGGTTTTGGGGTTTTGGGG